CAGTAGGAAAAAAAATTGTGAGTTCAGCTCACAATTTATGCGTTTTTATTATAAAGTTTTAAATTACATTAGCCCATTTATTTGACTGGAAGGAAGACAGTTACAGCTCTCATATGGCACCCATCTTTTGAATGAAGCTTATGAAATATGAAAGTTATGACGTAAAGAACATAACGAAGCGCCACCGGTGGAGTTAAAAAGGTTAAAGAGTAAGAAATTCTCTTTGGGAACTTTGCTTCCTGTCTCACTAACTGTTACAATGCTGTGTAAAAGGTTCTCTTTGGTGCAATTTTAAAAAACGGAACAGGCCAATCTAAACAAGCTATGCCAGTTTTGGAAAACATTTAGAGTTGAGTAGCAGAACGCAGAAAGTATTTAACTCTATTTATGTAAACATCACCCGTGATGAGATATTGTGAATTTTTTAGAAAGTATCATGCTGTTAAACTTAAGCGATGCTGCCCAATGCCAGCTAAACACTCAATTCAAATGACAGGTCAACTGGCAAACATTTAAACAACCAGCACTTTCATACGTGCCACTGAAGGATCTGACAGACGGAAACTGTTACCATGGTTTTATAAATGCCTGCACAAACAGCTGCATGTACAAGAACCACACATGCAAGGAGTTCCCTCCAAGAACAGAGAGCATATATGAAGGCACTTACTTTCCAGCCACATGTGCATTCTCAATAAAAACAAGTGCTGCTTCCAATCCTTTCAGCTGAGCCACTGCATTGGAGTCCGTGACAAACTTTTTGATAAGTCCCAGGTATTTGCCCCATTCGGGACTCTTCTCGTCCCCTATCCTCTGGAAAAGCTTCAGCGCTTCTTCATACCCATTCAGTCTGGCCTTCCATACCTTTGGGGGGTAAAAGGGAGAACGATGACTGCGGAGATGAACATTAAACTAAACAAGAGATCATGGCTGAGGTAGCTTAAGTGACCCACTTCTTCTCAGCGGCCTGAAAGGCCATTATTCTCCAAATGGATGCTACTTTTAAGGTATAAACGCTGTTACTTTTCAAGGCAGAGGACAACCTCTAAAACCCTTCTGGGGAAATACTAGTATTTTGTTTTTATAATAGCAGAAACTTGTATCACTATATTATCACTTTGTAGGAGAAGGAAAATTACAATGTATATTAATGCAAAAATCACATAATGTACATTAATAGAAACTCTCGTAACGTTTCAGAGCCCCGTCGGCCTTCGTTCTGTTAATTTTAACTTCTGTTTGCACAGATACTGAAGCAATGACAACAGAATAAGGGTTATTTGAATGTTACACAGCTAGCTCAAGCTTGTTCTTGCTGGCTATGCTTGTTTTAAATTCTGTCTGCACTGATATCGGTGCCAACGATAATTCTTTGACATGAATGAGGATTAAACTCCTCTTAAACTTACTTAATTATTGCTGAGCAGCTCACATAAGCTAAATCTACAATTGACATAACATTGCTGTTGCCATTCTGCTGTTTAAGGAAGGAACTGAGATGCAAAGTGTGGGTAACAACAACAACAATGAACTGCTGATGTAGAAACAGCCTGCTGATGTAACTGCCAGCCTTATTCAACAAGTCCATGACTGTTTTCGGCCCAAAGAGCAAAATGTGAAATGCTCACCTTATGTTCGCACTTCTGGTCAATGGGCAGTTTCATCCACTCGCTGTCGTCCCCCATGGCGGCTCCTCTGTGTTTGCCTTATCTGTTCAACTGAAGACAATGAGAGAAAATGATAACGACTTCGTTTGTTATATATATTCTGTAAAGCATGACTTAGTATTTTACTTTTATAATAGCAGAAACTTATCACTATATTATCACTTTATAGGAGAAGGAAAATTACACACTGTACATTAATGCAACAAGATTTTATTCCACATAGTTGGGGACCTTCTCTATTGGCTCATTCATCAGGAACTGTTCATACAATGTAAAAAAAGACAGTGCTCTTAGTGTAAAACAATGATATACAAAGCTACACACAATATTATGACATGCAAAATCTTAAAGGGACCTTAAGGTGCAAAACCAGCCCATTTTAGGTCACTTTTTTTGTGATGTCACGAAAACCAACTCATTTACATACATCTCCCGCTCCAGTTCTCAGTAGATTAGCCTCACCCACTCATGGTGAGGTTATAAGCAGTGTTTCAGCTTTTTGAATGAGGCAGTCTTAAAGGCACAGTAAAAAAAAACAGCCCATTTAATTCTAAGGAATACAGAAAAGATAAAAATGTTCATGTGAAAATGGTCAATTTCACTGCTTTTTTCACACATATAAAATCACACAAATGTTATAAACCGACCCTGGGAGAAAAGGTATAAAAATGCCAGAACAAAGTAGGATACGTGTCCTTTAAAAAATATAAACAGCTGTCAAGGAAAGTCCCTAATAAAGCATATTGCGAGTGCAAACAAAGCCAAACAAATTCAGAAAGACAGACAAAAAAAAGATCATTATCAAGAGTCAGTCTCGTTTCTATTCATAATACTTCAACAACAACAACAACAACACTGAATCATAAAGACGAGAAATAGTCAACTGCAGCTATTTATTTGTTTATATGTTTAGCCTTGGGCGTAAGACCTAACTATTATAATATTACAGTGCTCCGATAAGGCCGTGTTGTCTTGATAAACTCACTAGGAAGTAAAATTATGACACTCAGCTCAACAAAAGGCTCCTCACCCAGGAACAGACTGACATATCAATAGAAAAATAAACCCTACACAGCGGCTCAACGGATCCACAAAACCCTTTGAGAAGAATCCAGTTCAACACTTGCACGCGATGCTGTCAACATCTCTGGGCCATAAGAGGCAGCCAGTGATGCTGGGATGAGTGGTTTGCTTAATGTTCCTTAATGCACATCCGCATGAGATGGTCATTTCACGTTTCATATCGATTTCTAAAAAAGGGGAGATCATGCCTCTGTGGTTTCACTATCGTGGACATTACTTAGGAAATAATATGTGAAATTCTGGACAAACTGAACAGCTTATCGAGCACAACCTACTGTCATGTCTAGTGCTGGATATCATTCATCATTTTTCAGTACCATTACAGATAATCTAGACAGTGATGCCACTTTGTGACTGACACTTTTCCATGGGTTAAAAGTCATATATTGGTCTAAATGACCTTTATTTAAAAATAAAGACAAATAAATGTCTAAAAAGTATCCACATCTATACTAAAACATCCAGTTTCACAAAAGGAAAACTGCTTTTGATAAAAGCAAGAATGACAATGAAATGTTTCAACACTCATTAGTACCGAAGTAATTCAGTTGATATCATAAAAATACCAAATATTAAACTTCTATACTTAGCCCTAGGCATGATCATCTCCATAACTGTCATCAAACAGATCATATCGCTGCTGTCGGAACAAAACCTCGTATCTCCATTGTTGTCGTTCTTCAGTTTTTGATATAGGTTGGAAATACCCATGGTCCTTTATATTGTGTGTAAATTTCATGATGAATTGGCCAATCAGAATGACCCACAATTACTTGGAAAAAAGTCTGGTTCCACTGACTTACATTAAAAGTAAAGTATGTTTTTTCCTTCTCCTGTAAAGTAACCATTTTGGAGATACAAGGCTTTGATCCAACAGCAGAGATATACACATGACCAATGCTATTTGAAGAGTATAGACAATGCACGTTTACATATAAACAATATGACCAATGCATGTCAGTACATAAACAAAATAACCATTGCATCTCAATATATGAAGAAATATAGCCAATGCATGTCAGCACATGAGGAATATGATTAATTCATATCAGTAGATAAACAACATGGCCAATGCGCGTCTATATCTTGGCATCTACTGCTCATATTCTTTACATACCAAGATTATGAACAATGGATATCAATACAGACCATAGGTAAACAAAGTGACCCATGCATGCAATTAGCTAAAACCTACTAAGACTAAGGAAACCACATGTGTTACATGGGTTCAGTTGAGCATGAACACAGTCCAGCCTAATCAATCAATTAACCCCCCATTCAGACTGCAAGCTTTAGCTATATTTTAGGTTTAACTAATATCAGCACCGTGTTAAATGTAATGCATTTGCAGGCGGGAGCACATATTAACTGCTTCTTATTTAACGTCAGGGATTACCAGTAGCTAACTGGCTAGCGACGTGTGCCTCACAGCTTTGCTTCGTTTTCGTATTTGCCGTTCCACCTTAAATGGTGCAGCAGTTAACGCTACATTCTGGCGCATCAGGCTCTAGACTGTAACTGCTGCACCTTTTAAGGTGGAACGGCAAATACGAATAAGAAGTCAACTTCAGCTGGTATGTAAGCTAACCTGGCTGCCCAGAACGTCAAACCAGACTAGAAACCTAACTAGTCACTCAAACGAGTCACACAATTAGCCGTTAAAAAACACTAAATGACAGAATTAAACTGTTTTCTTAAAACGTATGACTGCTTACCAGCTAACACAGGCCAGCGTGTTAAATACGCAGTGTACGGGACTAGCTTAGCTTAGCCTAGCCTCCACATAGCAACGGTAGCTAAGGTAAAACGGCCGTTTCAGGCTCAACTCCGAACCGCACGATAGAAAAACGGACTGAAAATTAAATATTTGTCCCGACAGCCCGCAGAATAACCCGCGACTGACGTGGATACACGATAAACGACTCACACACTATTGTTATGAAGACTCGTAACACACACACACACACACACACACACACACACAACAGGCCGTTGAAACACACACCCAGCAGCTCGCGCACACAACACCGCCCCGCGAGGCTTTCTGTGCTCATTTCTTTAGACGCCGCTTTTCTTTATTTGAGGCTAAGGGCGGATGCGGGCTGGCGGGGTTACCTGCAGTAGGCTGGGGAAGACAGGGCGCTGCGCTGGAGCTGCCGGAGCCGCTGTGCTCATTCTCCTCTCCGGCCTTTTGAAACGCCTCCAAGGGCGGAGAGTCGGAGGGAGGAGCCGCGGACAGCGCGCAGGCGCCGGAGGGAGCAGGCCGGAGACACAGCCCTGAGCCTGGGGCTCTGAATTACACAGTTTAGTGCTTAAACGTAGCGATTATACAGCCAGTAAGGGCTTGTCTGACTGTCTGACTGTCTATCTATCTATCTATCTATCTAAGCAAGCTAGTTATCTGTCTGTCTTTCTGTCTGTCAGTCTGTGTATATATCTGTATGTCTGTTAGTTTGTTTATCTATCTAGCAAGCTAGCTATCTGCCTGTCTGTCTATATACCTGTATGTCTATCTGTTAGTTTGTTTATCTATCTATCTAGCAAGCTAGCTATGTGTCTGTCTGTATTTCTGTCTGTCCATCTGTCTATATATTTGTATGTCTGTTAGTTTGTTTATCTATCAAGCTAGCTATCTGTCTGTCTTTCTGTCTGCCTGTCTGTCTCTACACCTGTATGTCTATCTGTTAGCTTGTCTATCTATCTATCTATCTATCTATCTATCTATCTATCTATCTGTCTGTCTGTCCATCTGTATATATATCTGTATGTCTGTTAGTTTGTTTATCTGTCTATCTAGCTAGCTATCTGTCTGTCTTTCTGTCTGCCTGTCTGTCTATATACCTGTATGTCTGTCTGTTAGCTTGTTTATCTATCTATCTATCTATCTATCTATCTATCTATCTATCTATCTGCAGGTTGGAAATATCTAGTTAAACTTTCTATTTCTCAAGAAACATCATGCACAATTTCTCTGCTCTAACACATTAATTATTAGATTTGATCTTTATTTTTATGAACTCTGGGTCCAGTGTGTTAGAACAGGAAATCCCGAACTGTGTAGAGAATAGTCTGGAGCCAGTAATCTAGTCATAGCTCAGTGTTTTCCATTCCTTCTGTTATAGATCCGCTGCCCTGCATATTGTAGTGTTTTCCCAGCTGTCAATACACCAATATTATATTAATTAAAGCAATTAATTGCTGACAGAAACGTTTAATAACTCTGAGCACTGGGGCACTTTTGTGAAAACGATGAACTATTGCTTTAAAAATGGGATTTTTCAGTGTCCGAGACTGACCACCAGAAGTCGCTTAAGTTCGCACTTGACCCCGCCTCTGCAGTCCCCACCTGTTTTCCGACAAGCCCCGCCTTCCTGCACTGGGATTGGCTAGTAGTTCATACACGTCGACGGGCACAGAGGTGTTGGAGGGTGGAGTAGTAATTATAGAAAACACTGCAATAAAAATGCATTAAAAATAAATAATAACCAGATGTATGCTAAAGCACATGCATTCCCCTGTCAGCTGATTAAATCAGTATTATCTTTATTAATGGTAAATCGTGAGCTTTTACTGGTAACCAGTCATTCAGTCTACATTTAGACTTCTGAAGTATTTCTGAACCATGAAAATGAATTTGGTGTTATTCTCTTCTTCCCATTTAGATGACATTTTAACACAGATTACAGCACGCAGACAGATAGACCATTTAAAGGGCCCGTATCACACTGGTCCTGTTTTGACTAATCATACTAAGGTCCATTTATGACACTTATGTGGTTTTAAATATACATATAAAATATAAATGATAAAAATAGTAATAAAAAAAAACGTTTTTTTGCCTTGAAAGTGTTGGATCCATACGTGTGAACCGTTAGCCAATTCCAGCGCAGCAGGGCGGAGCTTGCCGGAATATGGGTGGGAAGTAAAAACAGTATGGCTGTAACCTGGCGACGATGAAAATGAACACAGACCGGTTTACTCTGCCAACAGACGACTATTTAGGTACGTCATGGTCTCTTCTGATTCACTCACAACGTTTACCTGCAAATGTGACCTTTATGATTATTAATCCATGTGTAAATATTCTGCATCTCAGCCGAGACCAATGCGCTCTTCTACCTCAGTGATGCGGTCACGCAGCTGCTGGAGCACCGAGAGGAGTACACCCAGTTCGGCATCGTCCGCTATTTTGCAGAATAGTGAGTTGACTTGGACAAATACATGGCATTTCTCACTGTTATCACTGTTATCTATGAAAGTCCGGTGAGGCCATGAGGTGGCTATAATTTTCTTTTGGACTGTTATCGTGGGATCACCTGATAAATAAGTCGTGATCTCGAGATAACAACTTTTGTTGTTGAGATCACAAGATAATTAAGTCGTGATCTTGAGATAACAGCTTTTGTTATCTGGAGATCACAGGATAATAAAGTCATGATCAAGTTATTACAAGATTAATAAAAATAATGCGTGACCACTTTGTATTAATGCATAGGAACGTACGGAGCCCCGCTGGTGACGTCCTGCATAAATAAAAGTAATGCGTGGCCACGACTTAGTAAGGTGTGGGAACAAAATAATTAAGTTGTGGCCATGACTTTTTAAGGCATGGGAACAAGATCCTAATGCTTGCCACAACTTAGTAAGGCATGGGAACGAGATCCTAATGAGTGGCCATGACTTAGTAAGGTGTGGGAACGAGATCCTAATGCGTGGCCACGATTTAGTACGGCATGGGAGCGAAATCCTAATGCATGGCCATGACATAACAAGGCATGATCTCATTCCCAAGCCTTACTAAGTTGTGGCCATGACTTAATTATCTCATTCCCACTCCTTACTAAGTTGTGGCCATGCATTAGGCTCACGTGCCCACTCGTTAATAAGGCGTGGCCACGCAACATTTTTATTTAAATGGGATGTCACCAGCAGGGCTTTGTAGGAATGAGATTCTAATGAGTGGCAACAACTCAGTAAGGCGTGGGAACGAGTGCCGAATAACGGACAATGAGTGCAGGAACAAGGCGGTGGTTTTAATGTTATGGCTGGTCGGTGTAGATCTGTAGCAGGAGCTTAGTGAAACAGTCCAGGAACAGAACCAACACCCACAGAATGACATTAAACCCAAAACAGCTATTGGTTGCTAAATGTGAATGGCTAAATTAGAAAGTAGATTACTCAGTATAGTGAAAAGTGAAAGTGGTATCATCTGTAAATACTCAAAGTACAGATTTATTTAAAGGACTCTTTTCATGTAAAATAAATTTTCCTCACTTTTTTAGATAATAAAAGAGGTTGCTGTAGTATATACACATTATTAAAGTTTCTCAACATACCATTCACTCCACAGTCCACTACTAAGCTGCAAAAATAGCCCATTTTGAATTAATTGTTTTTGTGATGTCATGAAAACTAACGTATTTGCATTGATCTCCCTGTCCAGCCTACAGCAGTGTAGCCTCGACCATTCACGTTGAACTTAGTATGGAGTGATTCGGCCTAGACTGCTTTTTGAACAAGTCACAATACAACACAGCTAATCAGAGCAGACAACAATTACATACATCTCTCTTAAAGACACAGTAACCAAAAAAGCCTGTTTTATTCTGAGGCATAAAGAGAGGAAATGTTAATGCAAAAAATGAATAATGATCCTTTTGTGGTACACTGTATTATACCAAAAAAATGGCTTTGGCTTGTCACAATAGTGGAAACCTTTTTTGGTGATATATAGAACCCTTTTCAAAATATAGAACCATATACGACACTTTCTCCATCAATGTGAAGAACCTTTTCATGATGCAAAGGACGCTTTAACCCTTGTGATGTGTTTGTTACTCAGTGGTCAGGTGACCCGCCACATTATTTTTTATCAATATAGCCATAACAATTTATGTAAAAATACCAGATGTTTAAAATATCATGCATGTCCAGCGTAGGGTTCTCCTTTAGCAGCTGTAGCCAGTCAGCAGCCTGTCCATGTTGTCCACCCACACACACACACACATATACAAACACACACACACACACACTAACAGCAGGCCATGTAGGAGGAAAACAGAGTGAAGGACACAGCACCTCCACATTTTTGTTCCCCGCAGGTTCACCCAACACCACATGTGCAATATAAATGTGTGGGGGGTGAACAGAGTGAAGACTGAAAATGGGTCATTTTTGCAAACATTGAAAATGAGTGCTTTAGACCTGAACACAACAAGGGTTAATCATGCAAAGGGTTCTTACAGTGTTCATGGTTCCATATAGAATCTTTTCATACTAAAGAACCATTGAAGAACCATCTTTTTTAACAGTGTACATAAACACACAGAAGCTCCTGAGAGGATATCAGGAAAAAAATAAAATTGAACAAAAATGTATCATATTGGCCCTTTAAGCACACAGAGCAGAGTAATTGGAACTGGCTCCTACCCACCTCGTGCCCTAAGATCACTTCTAATGTGTAGCCCTTCTTTATTTTGTTTAGCTTTACCAGTGTGAAGAATGGAAATCACGTCCTTTTCAGAGAATTCAGCTACATTAAAGCTACACCACACAACAGAGCTTCCTTCATCCACATCTTCTGGAAGTGCTTCAGACAGATTGGAAAAAATGGAGGTAAGTGTTCATGTGTCTATACTTATTCGTTCTCACACAGGCCTAGATGTGGAATAATGTGGCCTCCTCTTTACAGATTTGCTGACAGTGCTGGAATACAGTTCGCTGCTTCAGCTTCTGTGCCCAGACTTTCCTGCAGAAATGGTGCAGAACACAGCCAGGTAACAAAATGCATTTTAAACTGCACTTTTTTCTCCGCTTTATGTTGATTTTCCCTCTGGCAGTCAAATTCTCACACTAGACAGTCATATTTCTGTGGTTGTTCTGTCTCTGTAAGGATTGTTCTCATGGATGATGCTATGGACTGTCTAATGTCCCTATCGGATTTCATCTACTCTTTCCAAATCCAGTTCTACTATGAAGGTAAAGCCATTAGAGTATGTTAAAGCATTTTTATGTTGTGTGAAACTCTTTATGTTAAACTGATTATGTTTGTGCTCTTTGGCTCTTTAAGGAATGGTTTGGTGAAAATAGCCCAAAATAGGGTTGTTACGATACCAGAATATTGACTTTTTTGTATTTAAAATAAGTGTAATATCACGTCCGATACCAGAAGAAACTATGGCAAAAAGTTAAAAGCACTCATTACTATCTGAACACCAAATATTTATTGGATTAAAAACAGAAAAGAGAACTTTACAGCTTCATTAACATTATCTTTGTTTTTATTCATTCAGCACACTGCAGATGCAGGCAAATCACAATGTCAACCTGGTGCTAGCTCACATAACTGAAAGTATTCAAAGTATAGAAAGTTATTGTATTGAATTGTAGTTGGTGGGATCATGCTAATTAGTGACTACAAGCTAGAGGTCTGCACTCCCACTGGACCCGTGGGACCCGCCACAGTATCTTGCAGCACGGGACTAATTTTCAGTGTTGTGTGTGGGAGCGGGTGGGAAACCAGCCCACTGCAAAAAAAAGCAATTTTTGGCTAAACTGTCGCTTTAAGGAGCATCATATTTAATCCGAATGTGTCTCTGACAGAGTTCCTGGAGAGTGTGTTGGTGATTTATGAGGACCTGCTGGAGGGGAAGAACCCAAACACGGTCATCGTCCCAACGTCCTCTTCAGCGGAGCCGCTGTCCAGCACGGCCAGTGAGGAGACGGACACGCAGGAGGGGGTGGACTCATCCGTTTTCCTTGAGTGCATCAAGGGTCTCTGTGAGCGCTTCAAACACAAGTAAGACCCTCTCCTACACTGTTAAAGTTTTAGATCAGAGTCAGAATCATTTAATTGGCCAGGTTCATTCATTGGAATTAGTCATGAAATTGGTGCACACCCTCTGGTAACTGTTGTTGTCTCAGTTTATGCAACGGATGTGCTCGGTTAATCGTTCGAGGTGCCAGCATTTAAATACTGAAATCACTGTTCGGGGTTTCATTTTATTGCAGATGGAGAAAATAATACAAACTAGCAATTCAGTAAAACGCTGACTTTCTTATTTTAGAAGGACCAACTGCAGCTAATCAAATTAGCTAATAGTTCTAAACCGATAACCTAGAGTTACTGCTGAGAGCGTTTACATGCACTCAATAATCTGATCATAATCAGATTTCTGCAGTTATCTGATTATTCAAATGGTCATGTAAACAGCACACTGATTTCTTAGACTGGAGTAAGGTCTAGAAATCCGATTAAGAAATCTGATAAAAAGAGCTGGATTTTAGCTCAGTGATCAGATTTCTCAGTGTATATAAACTCTTACTCTGATTTCTTTCGGATTTCTAAGTCTGCAGATGGCAATACCGCAAATAAGCGAGCAGCGTCACAAAACACTTTGGAGCGATGCTGAAACCAAATACATGCTTGATGAAATGAAGGATTTAAATATTCTTCATTTTCTAGATGATGTATGTTCATATTTTCAGGTAAAGTGTCACAACGTTAAAAAAAAAAAAAGCCACAGCGTGAAGTTTGAGTTTTACATTACGTTTACATCATGTCTTCTTCTATGAGTTTATTGGCTGGTTGCAAAGCAGAAATCTGATTACTGCCTGGCTCATGCAGACCCGGAGTTTCCCTATTATCTGATTACTCAAGTGCATGTAAATGCGTTGATCGGATTACTGACAAAATCTTATTTTCTGCAGTTATTGGATTATTAAGTGCGTGTAAACGCACTCACTGTCATATGGCTACACAATTTTGATGTAATTACACACATACATGTTAGTTACATGAATTGCATTTACATTTCATTTGCATTCTGCATTTGCAGCTTCAGCACATTTAACTGTGTTAATGTTTTTTTCTCAATAATTTCAATTTTGAATCAAAGTCAAATCATAATATCTGCTACTTATGAATAAAAATGTGGCACGGATGAAATGTTTAGAATCTTTTCTAAACTTGTTTCAATGAGCTAGAGGTCACAATAAAATTATTATAAAACTATTTATGTAGTACAGTGCTAAGCTTACTTCAGGTCTAGTGACTATAAAGAATATTAAACAATACAGATACTGTTAAACATTACAGATTCACAGAAGTAAACCAGCAGCTCGTAATGTTTGTTTATCAAATCAGTGACGTGTGCGTCAGACTCGGGGATGTATATCTGTGGGGGTTAACAGGAGATTGTTATTGATCCACTGTTTCTTTAGACATCCCTCCATCTCTGCCATTAAGGAGGTTCGAGAGAGCAACCCGCGACTGTCCTACTACAGCTTCCTGATGGCTTTGGCCAAGCATGAGGGAATCAGCCAGGACATCGGTGAGGCCTGTAGAGCTCTACTACTGATCCATTAGTCATACCAACATGATCCAGCTTCACAGCATCAGTGTCTTATAAAGCAAATATGATCTAAAATAGACTCCAGCTTAGAGTTGTTATTCTCCTTTTTATTCCCAGGGGCCCTTCCGAACAGATCGGACCTACTCATAGACCCGGAGATGGATCAGGAGCTGGAGAGGCTGTGAGTGGTTTTGTTTGTTTGTTGTTATTGTATGTTAGCATAATCATAAACAACTCAAGCATGGCTTTGACTCTGGCTCTGAGTTTGACCTGACCCAGAGCACAACGTCTGAGGCTGAACCATGACCCGAGGCGGATGAAATTCTGACCCAGCTCGAACCACATACTCACGTTTTGAGTCCCGAACCAGCACATCATCACCCAAAATGAGCTGAATTAAACCGGACAGTTCTAATGATGGGGGCAGGTAATTAGTGCGTAGTGATAATAATGGCCGTCATCAAATTAAGGATAACTACAATCTAATAATGTGAAATAATATAATTTATTCATCGAGCAACATTAGTCTGTATAAGCCTTCCATAGAGAGGGTGCTGATCTCCTGCTGCCTGAACTGAGCTGAACCACATCACTATATCACCTCTCCTGTTAATACACTGTGTAATATATCATAACCTGCTGCTGTAATGACACTTTCACTATGCACTCTAGACTGTAAACACTGCTGATATTCACAGTTATGCTCATATTCATTTTGTTGTAACTACCTCATACCACTTAGATCAATACCTGCTCTCGTGTAAATACACCAAATCTGTCTTATATGCTATGTAAATATGCAATAGATATACTTTTATTCCTAGTCTCTTATAGTTTACTTAATTTAAGTCTATTTATCTGGTTCTGCCTAATTTATGTCTGTTTTTATTCCTATTTTATTTCTGCCTAATATATGTAAGTTTATGTGCAATTATATGTCTTGCTACTGTAATACTGCAATTTCCCTTCGGGGATCAATAAAGTTCAATCTATCTATCTATCTATCTAGCTATCTATCTATCTATCTATCTATCTACCTATCTACCTACCTACCTAATGTTAAGATGTTAGTCTTAACCTGTTGAATCCAAAACCTTTATTTCTCTACATAGAACGTCACACATAACATATTGAACACTGAATATAACACATTTCTTTTTAGCCAAACATATTAAATACACAGACCTTTGACTACTGTACTGTGCTGAATCGATTCCCTGTTTAATTTCTCATGCGTCCCTTTCTCACTAGTGTAGGGCTCGTGGATTGGGTCAGTAACCAATATTTTCTTGCATTTTATTTTTTACACCAACAATTACATACATCAAATTCTTTTATTCCAAAAAGTGAGGAAAATCTGGTTTTCCACACTGTAAAAAAATAGAGGTTTAATTAAAAAAGTTAGTTATCAGGCTGTCTTAAATTTTTAGTTCATTGAGCTTCAAAGAATGTTAGATGCACTTAATAAAAGTTCAAATTAAAACAGCAATTGTTTTTGAAAAGTGCATGATATGGGTCCTTTAAAAACAGTCGGTGACTCCAGTGTGCCAGATTTAAAATTAAGGTAAGTAGGGAGGAAGTGTAAAGTAGGGAGGAAACTGTTTCAGCACCTGCTTAGTGTATATAGACTTGGTGCATACAGTATTTAAGTGTGTTGTTGTGGTGTGTTCTGCAGTGTAGCCCAGGTGGCCATCAGCCCCACGTCCAACAGCAGCAGCAGCGCAGCCGGACTGAAGGAGCCACCCAAAAAGGCCTCGCCCCGCAAATCTCTACACCAGCGGCGCAGGATCGAGATGGAGAGCGACGGCTCCACTGAGGAGACCGACTCCTCTGAGAACTGACAAAGAAATTAGTGATTATGATTATTAAACAGTAGCAGGTATTTTTCTTGTTTTTTTAAAGAGGAATCCCACCATTATTTCACTATTTCACACTTTCTGCTCTGCTCTGCTCTAGAGAAACTTACCGAGTCAGAGTTGCTTACAGTGGTGGTGATAGGAACCAGACGTCTGAAGAGTTTAATGGCTGTAAAAGCTACATCACAGAAATGGTGATGAATATGCTTGATGTCTGAGATGTTGCTTTATCAATAGTCTTGAAAATACTAAAGACTAAAGACTAAAATCAAAATATATAAAAACTCAGAAGACATGTGTAGGTTCACTGGTGGTTTCGCATAGTAAATAAAATGGCTATATTTGTGTTGTAGTCATGGTGACTCCTGGTTCCTATCACCACCACTGTAAAGAAATCAACCATTTCACACCAAATTGCTAGTAATGACCACTGAACTGAAAAATATGAAAAATGAGGTGGAATTTCCCCTCAGAAAATTAAGAAGTGTCCTAAAATGTTTGATGGCAGTGTATATACTATTTTATTTTTCCAGACAGTAAAGTGTGTCTGAAATAGATGTTTCTGAATTTCTGAGATTCACACCACCACAATTTTATATCACTGTATGCTTTGTTTAAGCGCTATTTATTGCTCATTTTGTTAATGCACATAAAATTAAACCCAATAGATGCCTACTACCCATATTTTTCCTTTCATTAATTTTAAGTGAAACTCTACACTCAGGAAAAATACCATTATCCATTTGCTGTACGCAGCTGATATAAATAGACTGAGGAGCTATTTGTAGATACTGCTATTGATTCCTTTGACTGCTACCATGTGACCATGACATTGCAAACTGCAAATCAAACAGCAGGACAGTATATTTACAAACAGAATTTAATTCTACGAGTTCCATAGTACAGTCAAGATCATCCAAAATAAAAAAAGACGATTTACAATAATCACAACAAACAAAAAGAATAGGCACAACTTGTGATTTCGCAGGATTGATCTGAAGACACCTGTGGTCCAAACCTTACCACCCCTCATAAAGAACAGCTATAAACTCATGATCTCCACACCTTTCACAACTCTGTCGCTTTCTCTCACGCTGATCTCTTTCAGGATTTAACTCATTATCAGGTGAGTTAGATGATCTTGTTTTCAAAGGGGAATTCCAGCATTCCAATTTTTCAAATTCAAGTCATTCAGAGCGGTTTGATGTGAAATGCTTCATTCTAGAGAAACTTACCGAGTCAGAATTGAGTTTACTGCTTCTAAAAGCTTCACAGAAAGTTCTTACATGAAGTTAATACATTTTATGGTTGGCCTAAAACATTTTTGGCAGAGTGGTACATGCAGGGTGCTGTGAGGCAAAATAATCCCCAAAGAAAATTTATTTTTTAAGGTTTACCACTATTTTACCATCATTATCATTCCATATAAAACTTGTGTAGGTTCACTGGTGGTTTGATAGTAAATAAAATAGCGATATTTGTGTTGTAGTCATGGCGATCCCTGGTTCCTATCACCACCACCGTAAAGACATCTGAACCATTTCACACCAAACCACTCTGAATCACTCTGTTTACATCTCAACCACTAATTTATGCTAAAATTTTGCAAAAGTGATGGAATTCCCCTTCAACCCTTTGATGAGTACTGGCATAGTTTCTCATGTGATTTCACATTTGCAGTCAATTCTTTAGTTGACACACTGGAAAAGGTCACTGAATTGGCTTGATTCAAATGAGTGCATCATTTTCACAAGAATAAAATTAAAATGACTCATTATTCATGTGGAAATCTTGTACACACTTGAATCGAGCAAATTCAATGCAGGAAATCGTATTACATTCCTGAACTACAGTGAGAATTCTGGGTCTATTCCAAAAACCCCACTCCAAGGGTTAAATATTGCACACTCTTCATGGTCAAGCTCGAGTTCAATAAAGCGCATGCTGGTAAAGGTCCATCATTCCAAAAGATTAAAAATGAATGAGTTCAGGTTTCCAGATCCTGATTGGCTCTAGTTCATTACCATGTGATCTACAGTCAGAACCACAAGAGGAGATCAAACCTGTGTAAGGTTTAGCAGTGATGATCCACCATCCGCTTTGGAGGACACTCAGTACACGTCCTGTATAAATAACATATTCACCATATTCCATCATGATAAGAGGGATTTTTCTTTTTTTTGTACTATTTTCAACACTGTACATCACCCTCCATTTAAATATGTTTTATTTACTATGATTCTTAAATAATATCATTTAAAAGAAAATATTTCATCTTCAGAAGATTATTCTATGCTTGTAGCGTAGAGTGCAGTTTGTAAGTACAGCATTTGGTGACACAGTTTGTGTTGTGGCCCTGTACCCCAGTGCATTGGGTGTGAAACAGTGACAGTGATAACCAGGTTAAAAAGGAAGAATCCACTAATTTTTCAAAATTTCTGCGTATTTAAGTGGTTAAAATGTAAAACTTGAAAGTCATTCAGAGTGGTTGAGTGTGAAATGCTCCGTTTTAGAGAAACTTGTCAGAATTGTTCACAGTGGTGGTGATTTTTTTAAGCCATTCATGGTGGAGAGGTACATACAGGGTGCTGTATCGCAAATAGTCCCAAAGAAAACATTTTTTTTTTCAGATTAACCACTATTTAACCATGTTCAATATTACCTATCATCGCTGTCACACAAAAACTGTGCTTCTCTGTTTCTGTCATTTTTCTACTTCTTTGTATAATTTGAAAATTCATGCTATGCGTCGCGTTATGTTACATTTTCTATGATGAACGGACCAACAGAAATGCACGAAAGTTACACTGAAAAAGTGACACTGACTTTCATTATAAGTTAATGTTTTTTTCTTCTCCCATAAAGTTACGATTTTGGACATACAAGGTTTATTTTGATACAAAAACTCAGAAGACTCGTGTAGGTTCACTGGTGGTTTTGGATAGTAAATAAAATGGCTATATTTGTGTCGTGACCCCTGGTTCCTGTCACCACCACTGTAAAGAAAGTCAATTAGTTTCTTTTCAGTGAACCATTTCACACCAAACCACTCTGAATGACTTTGTTTACATCTCAATCACTGAATTATGCTCAGATTTTAAAAACAGGTGGAATTCCCCTTTAAGGTGCAGAAAGTCAGCTTTGAGGAGATTTGATCTATATTGAGTGAAGTTGCTTCAGTAAAATGTTTTTGGGTGAGCAACTAAGCACAATGTTGCAGTGACATCATCGGTGACTACAGCTGAACAGGCCCTGTGTGTTTCACAGATGAGATGGTTCCTTTATTTCTCCACACTTTCCTCGTTCCATCACTGAGGTACGAGTTCGTCTTCTCTCCATCTCTGTAAACTGCCCCAAAACTCTACAGGCCTTTTATGTTCTTTTTAGCAATATTTTGAGGGTTACCAGTGGTCTGCATCTTTTGTTTTGTTTTTTTTTTTCATTGTTGTCTTTGACACGTTTTTGATTACATCCTGGACGGTTCTTCATAACGGTTCTTCAGTCATCCATTAATGTGGCCTACTAGGTCCTTTGCTAATCTCACCAGTGTGTTCCTGATTCTTCTGAACAGTGTGCCAAACAGGTTCTTTGGCACATCTGATTTATTCTGATTTTTCAACCTCATGATGACCTTCTTTTTTACGGACACTGACATTCTTTGGTGCTCATGTTTAGAGACTATTAATGATTTCACTATAGTATAGCAAATACCCTCAAATTAAAGCCGGGAATCGGCACTTCAACCCTTTGAAGGAGCAGGATGTGCCAGCAGTTCTAGGCTTCCAGTCTTCACCTAGAATAAACTCAGCTGGCACGAGTCGTTTTCCATGTAGTTACTGAATAATAAGGGAATTAAAAAAGCTAACCTAGCTGTTTTGCTTCATAGCCAATGTACTGGAGACAAAACAACAGAAATTGTGTCCACTGTTACTTACAGAAAGCACTATATGTGACACACTGCATAAAAAGGGAAAGAAAAATATTTGGTTGTCATGGCTACATACTTAAATCGACAGATCAATGAGATCTGGCCTCTTTGCACTTTAGGCCGTAGTACAGTTCCACAGATTTCAGTACTGAAGCACATAAACTTTGAACACGATGAGATCCAGCAACATTCAGTGGGGATAAAAGAAAGAGATATTGGTGTTTTTTTGCCTGTGAAACACAGAACGACACTCTGAGGGCCATAAAAGCTGCTAGCATACTAGCTAAATAGCATTTACTAGCATACTAGCATATGTCCCATTGCCTTAAACTAGATGTGCGTTTGAATCAACGGTGTAAGTGAGTCGTGATTCAGAGTTATACTCAGTACACTAAGCTTTAACTGCATCTTAGGCCACTGCAAATTTGGTTCATTACTGGATAAAAATCACAAAAGGGCCTTGATTTATGGTTTCGGTGTTTACATATTTCAGTTATTTTTATTTTCTCTGCATAAATTCTGCATTGTGCTTCGAACAGATGAATAAAGAGCATCGTACTGGTCTCAAGTAACTTACAATGCCCTCAAAATATATGTAGTGCCTTTTAAAATCCAGGTGGACACGTCAGCCTCGGACAGTCGGCATAGCTTTGGGCCTTTTCTGGGTATTCAAAGCCAGCAACAGCCTTGTTAACACATATTGTGTCTTTTTAATTTTACGCTTTGTCTAAAATAGACATTAACAATATAGCATGACATGTCAAGAGATTTTTGTAACCCATCATGCAACACCTTATATAGTAGTGTATACAGTAGTGCAAAAGGACGCAACAGAGCAAAGGTCATTCGAGGAAGATGTCTTCTGTGGGGCAGGAATATTCCATGTGTTCTTTGTAGAATTGCTGAAATGCTTTCCTGTTGAAAACAGCAAAAAAGTAAGCATGAAAAGGCATAATTAGTGGTTCTAACGCAACCTCTACCATAAAACACAGATTTCACCCACTGTAAATGTACATAAATACAAGGGCAGAAGTTAAGCAGAGTTGTTCTGACCAGAAAAGCTACCACAATAGTTGCATATTATCCAAGTCCCAAATATGATCTATAGATGAAATGGTTGGGCTCCCCTGGTAAAGGAAACCTATTTTATTGATATTTTATTAAGTGAAAATAAGTTAACACATCAGAGAACACACTTCTGCACAATTTAAAGCACACTGTTTACTTGCTGAATTCAACAAATTGAAAAAAATATATACACCAATCAGTCATAACATTATGACCACCGCCTTGTTTCTACACTCATTGTCCATTTTATCAGCTCCACTTACTATATAGGTGCACTTTGTAGTTCTACAGTTACAGACTGTAGTCCATCTGTTTCTCTGCATACTTTGTTAGCCCCCTTTTACCCTGTTCTTCAGTGGTCAGGACCCCCATGGACCCTCACAGAGCAGGTACTATTTGGATGGTGGATCATTCTCAGCACTGCAGTAACACTGATGTGGTGGTGGTATGTTAGTGTGTTGTGCTGGTCTGAGTGGATCAGACTCGGCAGTGCTGCTGGAGTTTTTAAACACCCCAGTGTCACTGCTGGACTGAGAATAGTCCACCAACCAAAAATATCCAGCCAACAGCGACCTGTGGGCAGCGTCCTGTGACCACTGATGAAAGACTAGAGGATGACCAACACAAACTGTGCAGCAGCAGATGAGCTATCGTCTCTGACTTTACATCTACAAGGTGGACTGACAAGGTAGGAGTGTCTAATAGAGTGGACAGTGAGTGGACTCAGTGTTTAAAAACTCCAGCAGCACTGCTGTGTCTGATCCACTCGTAGCACCACAACACACACTAACACACCACCACCACGTCAGTGTTACTGCAGTGCTGAGAATGATCCACCACCCAAATAGTACCTGCTCTGTGAGGGTCCATGGGGGTCCTGACCACTGAAGAACAGGGTAAAAGGGGGCTAACAAAGTATGCAGAGAAACAGATGGACTACAGTCTGTAACTGTAGAACTACAAAGTGCACCTATATAGTAAGTGGAGCTGATAAAATGGACAATGAGCGTAGAAACAAGGAGGTGGTCATAATGTTATGCCTGATCGGTGTATATACATACATACATACAGAATAATAAATAAATAGAGAATAATATAGATAATAATAAACAGAAATTGTGCACTAAAAACTACAGAAAAATTCCATATTGAAGTGTATTCTCTGTAGAGGATGTGTTATTTTCTTAATAAAATATTCTTCTAACATATAATAACAAAGAGGATGTGTACATATTTTCACTTAGAAAATCAACAAAACCTGTAATTTGACCAGGCATACGACTGTATGAAGCTGCACTTTTATATCAGAATAGATATTTCATGTTATAGGATATTATTTGGGAGGTTCTCACTCAGCTGTGAGTTCATTTATAAACCACGGCTGAAGTATTAATGTGTCAGCTTCAGCTCACTGGATTGCGTTGAAGGTCACTGGTGCTTACCCCACAGAGGCAGCCAGATGTGGGGCATGTTCCTCTGAGAAGAACACGTGGCAGGCGAACCTCTGGTGCGCTGGGTGTTTGGTGATTAGTCCAAAATACCTGGAACAAAACATGTAAGAACTCAGCATGATTTACTGAAGACTTGAGAACACCTAACCTTTAACTGACCAATCCATACTACACCCACACTTAGTTCCTTCGTAGCTACCATTTGTAGAATGTTGGCACCAGCGGCAAATGCTCAGGACCTTCCAGGCCAGGGGTGTCAGACTCAGCCACTAAAAGGGCCGTATTGAAAAATCTCAGTGAATCTGTGGGCTGTGTTTTTATTTCATTTTTACATTTTGCAATGACCTGAACTGGCCATTGTTTATTCAAAATATGCCAAAAACTGCAACAGCAAAATAGGCATTAAATACTTATTCAAAAAATAAATAAAAAATATTTTTTTATTCATACATTTTTTATTAAAATAAATAAAAGAATTTATTTTATTAAAATAAATTTTAAATATTATTTTTCGTTAAAAATAAATTGTTTTAGGTAGTTTTTTTTTAAACTGCCTATTTGCTTGAACTAGACACCTGGCATTTTTTCTTTTTTGTGTAACTGCTGGCCCAGATATTGTTGTTGGGTCAGAACACACACCATGTTGCAGTGCATGCTGGGGACATCTCAGGGTGAAACAGGCTAATAAGAATAGACAATTAAAATTATTTTGCGGACTGTGTCACGGGCCTTGTGTTTGACACATGGGTCCTAGGCCTTCAGAGAAATACATCTGTAATTTTTAAGAAAATTATATTTAATATAGTCAGCATACAAATATTTTAGTAATACTATTATTTTATTGTTTTTATTTTTCATTTTTTGTTGGAAACAAATCATGGAAAGTTTGAAAATCTTAAAACAGTCAAAAGAAAATTGTCCACTTTTTTGCCCTGTGGTATCTAGGTAGGAACAGCCAAGCGAGCTCTCCCATTGGTTAGCATGGGAGAAATTAGAACACCCAAAATATGTCCAAGTGCACTATTGTTAGCTTAGCACTAAGATACTATTAGAAATTCCATAGACACTAGCAAAAAATGAGCTTTACTGTAGAAATTTGACTTTTATAGCCCACATTTAGACAGCTTTATTAATTTAATATTAACATATGAATTTCAAGATATATTTATTTTGTATGTTTGTGAAAGGTCACACTGATAAGATAAAGGAAGTGTAGTTTTTTTGGTTATGAGATTGAGCTAACGTTAGTCTTTTGATTAGCTACAACAACATACTGAACATAGTCCAGCTTGGTAGCGAAGCACTTTATGCAACAACTTTAAAGAAACTGTGTTACAGTTTCTCCTTATGTTGGATGGGATTTTAGTCCAAACTTGTCCAACCTGGCAAAAGCTGCTGTAAAAGAACATAGTTGTGGGCGGAGCATGGACAGATCAATTAGTTACGGATCAGGGGCCGTATTACAGAAAATTCATAAGTCTGAAATCTTATCTGTTTAGTTACCATGACAACTTCAGTCTGAAATCTTATCTGTTTAGTTACCATGACAACTTCGGTTACAGAACAACAGTCTTAACTTCATAATCTCATCAATAACTCCAGATTAGAAAACAGTATTACAGAAACATCCTAACTAGACTGAATTTCCTAAATACTGTCCTAACATTAAGATAAACCAGAGCTGTCTTAACTTCTGTTTTAACCGTCTGTTTCTATCGTTTTATTCAGTGACAGGCAGCATAGTTCACTATGCATAACTGGCATAATGATGTTACATTAATCCACATCGGAACGAGTGCTTTGATTTATGAGGCTTTTATTCTAACAGTTTAAAAGCACCAGACGCTGCAGACTCGATCTCCACCATCCCTCTTATTACCTTCGTGTGTTAATGTTGATGATGAAATATTACAGTGATGGTGGAGAATAATGAGGAGACAGAGCTGAACGTGTGTCTGTTTATTAAGAGGAATAACGTTAGCGCGCTCGGCTAAAGCAGTGTTTCTCAGTCCTGGTCCTGGAGGCCCCAGTGCCCTGCACTTTTTAGTGTTTTCCTTGCTCCAAACACACCTGATCCAAATAATCAGCCCATTAAGAAGCCCTTGCTCAGTTGAAGTGGGCAAAGCGCTGCCACAATATTCATAACTTCAAGTTTATCGCACTTTAATTTTATAACGTTAATAACGTTAGCTGCCTGGCTAACTAACTTTGATTATTTTGATTACATGTTTACGTTTCAGCTGTGCGCATGGTCGGTTGCTAGGTAGCAGACATGACAGCTGATTGTCAACTTTGATCGAGTTTGTCACGCATCCATCGAGCTCTCAGAGGAACCCGGACTCACATGACTGCAGAGCGTACCTCACACTCTGAGTGTAACTCGGACTCCACTGCCCAGAGTTCTCTGGGGAATCATATGACTCTTGACCGTTTCTCGTGCTCCTATCAGCACTCTAGATCTCCTGAATATTGATGTGTACCTCCTGTGTTATGGGTCGTATGACTTTCATAGTTTAGTTTAAAAGCCTGGGCTTTAGGGATAGTTGCGAGGTGTTGTTTCCACTAGTGAACCTCTGAGTGTTATATCTATTGTCTGTATCCTGTTTTTGACCATTGCTTCTGTTATTTTGTTATTCTGCCTTTTGCTCTGCACTTTGGATTGTTTGCTGGACTCTTCTGATTCATGTTTTTGACCTTTTTGCCTGTTTTTTCGACTACATCTTTTGCCTGCCCCTTTTTGATTGATAGCATCGTGTTATGTTTACCCTTGTGCTTCTGCTGTGTTTTTTGAATTTGACCCACGCATGTTTTTTGACTAAGACCCTGGACTTTGATTCTGGAAGTAAAGCCTCTGTTGTGTTTTCAAACCATGAGCGTCTGACTTTTGTTGGCACGTTACAGAGTTAAGATTTCCTAACTTAAGATGCTGCATGGGTCTGTCTATTAGGAGGCATAACGTTAGCGCGCTCGGCTAAAGTGTTTGGGAAATGAAACTGAAACTGTGGAGCGACGACTCTCTGAAAAACAGCACGAAGCGCTGCCACAATATTCTTAACTCTCAGTTTATCACACTTTAGTTTTATTTGACCTTTTTTTGTTTACATCAGTAATGGTAGCTAATATTAGCTGCCTGGCTAACTAGCTTGATTACTTTGATTACATGTTTACGTTTCAGCTGTGCGGGTATGGTCGGTTGACTGTCGACTTTGATCGAGTTAAGATTTCCTAACTTGACATAAGATGCTGCAAGATTTCTAAATTAAGATAAGATTTGTTCCTATAGTACACATTTGTGAAAATCTTATCTTGACCCGTCAGATCTGTAGTTAAGACAAAAAGACCCTGATTTTCAAACGTCTGCATCAGCTTTACAATTCACACTCTGTTTTAGCCTCATTACCCAAGCCTCTGTGCACCAAACCCAGTAATCCACTGGGAACAGTCCCTCTAGATTTAAGTGTACAAGGGAAGAAAGGGCAAGGAAAGGGTCACTGGATTGGGACGGGCCCCATCTGCATAGATCTACATAAGTGTTTTACTCACTTGCTGTTCTTTGGATGGCATCCACAGAAGGAAATGTTTTTCAGCTGAAAGAAGTGACAGTACTTGTCACCCTGTGGGAAAAAAAGGAAGCCAGGAATGGACCGGTCAGCATCAGGGATCGAACTGCAGCTGTGGGATTTGCTGCCTCATGATGACAGATCACAGTGTGAAGAAAAGGGCTTTGTAGCTGCAAGCACATTTCTACACTGCTGAAAAGAGCTTAGCTTAGCTTACTCAGACACTTCGTGGGAAACAACTGCTTTGACTGGTATTTCGCAGCTCTAATGGAATGTTTATGTATGGCTCATTGGTCAGCATAGTTACTAATTACTTTTGCTAAATGCTTACAATTTTAATTAATATATATATGTATATATATATATATATATATATATATATGTATATATATATAATACATATATATATGTTAATAGTTTAGAACATTTTTACCTCCTTTATCTCCTATAAATTTACAATTCTGGTGATGTTTTTTTTTATATAGATACACCGATCAGGCATAACATTATGACCACCTCCTTGTTTCTACGCTCATTGTCCATTTTATCAGCTCCACACTGCTGTGTCTGATCCACTCAGACCAGCGCAACACACTCTAACAAACCACTACCACGTCAGTGTTACTGCAGTGCTGAGAATGACCCACCACCCAAATACTACCTGCTCTGTGAGGGTCCATGGGGGTCCTGACCACTGAAGAACAGGGTAAAAGGGGGCTAACAGTGTATGCAGAGAAACAGATGGACTACAGTCTGTAATTGTAGAACTACAAAGTGCACCTATATAGTAAGTGGAGCTGATAAAATGGACAATGAGCGTAGAAACAAGGAGGTGGTCATCATGTTACGCCTGATCGGTGTATATAAAAAAACATGTATCTCCAAAATTATAAATTTATAGGAGATAAAGGAGGTAAACATGTTCTAAACTATTAATGTATACCATTACAATAAAGTTCTTGTAATGAGATTTTATTACAGGCAATTTTGGAGCATTTCTGTTGGTCCATTCATCATGAAATTTCGACACAGTGTAAAGGACAGCTGATGTGTTCAAAGCATGTAGAGAAATAAAAACTGAAAAAAATGAGATGCTTGTGTTTTTGGTGACAGTGACGATATACTCCCGTTTGCTTTATTAACAGCAATAAAATAACAAAATAGATTTTTTTAGTTGTACCTCATAGAACTTTGTGCTGAATGTAATTATTAACGGACTTAAAGCATCCCAGAGTTTTCATTAGTTGTTTGGCTAAACATAAGTCAGTGAGTACAAGAAGAAACTTGATCATGGATCATCAGTCCTGCTATAAAATTCTGAATACAGGCTAAAAAGGCCCTTAGAATATCTTGGCGATATAGAGCTTGGGGGGAAATGCCCCATGTTATTACACACAACAGCACAGAATTAAAAGGAGTTGGACTAATAATTTAATTTATTACACTGTATTTATACTGACCACCCACTGGGTGACAGGCTAAAGGGGGGACCTCAAGGGATCAGTGCAGATTACCGCACAGCCTTAAGACTGATTGTTACATAACACTGTGACCAGAACAGTTACGTCACTAAACACAGTACTAAGAGCCTTAAAGGAATAGTTCAATAATTAAAAAAGAATTTACACAATTTACCACTTAAATCACATGCAGTCGATAAACCAAGACATGTTTATGTCCAAAGTTTGCTTCTTTAGTTTAGTGCTGGAGCTACAAGGCTAACATTGCTAACAAACTCTAGAAGTCAATAGTCACCCAAAGCTTTTCCATAAATACATCGATGAAACTTCTCTCAACCCACTCATACTGCATACAAACTTCATTGTGCATCTGAAGACTGGCCAGTGAACACAACAGGCACTGTGCAAAATTCCCGTTGTCTAAAACAGAGTTTCTCAACCTGTGGGCCGTGAAGCACTCTCTAGTGGTCTGTGGGCCTGAAGTCGCAGGGAGGCAGGAGCAGAGCTGGTTTATGAGGAGCCTGGCCACTTCCTATTTCCCCCGTTATATCAAAAACAGGACTGCTAAACAGCAGAGGGCGCCCACGAGTGAGTCCTCAATGAATGGGAGTAAATGGAGCTCAACAGCTAAAAATAAAAGGTTAAAATAGTTTCTAATCACTCGCCCAGAAAGTTTCTTTATTTTAGAAAGTAGAAGGATGTATTTCACTAAAAAAACAAAGATATCTTACCTGTATGTTTCCTTTATTCTACAGCAAACGGGTTTTGGGCAGCAGAAGGTGGCATTACTGCTAGAGTGTGATTGGTTGGCGAGTGGAACAGCTCATTGGCTGTTCGCACTCACTGACGTCATGAACGTACATGAGGCGCCGTTTTAAACTCCTATAACTCGAGTTTAAAAGCTCTTAAAAATATAACAGCGGTGTTAATATGTTTTATGCTGCTCTGTGTTCAGGAAATGATTGTATTCTTTCACATGAAAAATGTTTCAGCATTTATAAACTATGATTTTGCTCAAATGCTCCATATCAACCCATTCATTATGGAATTGCTCGGGAGCGCCCTCTAGCGTTTGAGAACCCTGGAAGACATTGCAGAGTGGAAATTCTCCTCTCTACAAGATCTCTGACAGTAGTTCGTAGTGGGCCAGTAGAGACGTATAAACAAAAACCCCGCAGTCACAGGCTAATTAGACGTCATCAGTTTAAAACAATGCAGCTGCCAGCATATAGCGCAGTTAGCCAGAGACGCATAGGTTCCTCACGGTGTTTCTCCTGCATTGTTCAGTGCAGACCTATCAAACTTTTTATCTTTAGTTCGCTCCGTTTTGACGTGTGTGAACACTCCACCTGTATTCGGGTCCGAAGCAAACAGCTGAAACCCGTGGGTCTCGGTCCGCTTCCAACCAAACCCTGTCCAGTTCACTGCTGGTGGGATGCGTTTTATGATGAAACGAGGGAATCATCAATAGAGCTGTCTTTCCTCTTCTTCTACCAGCACGTCAGCACTGTACTGTCAGTATAATCTGCCTGTTTTAACGTCTGACTTATTTCTGCAGCTGATAAAAACAACAGAGGAGCCATAAAATAATAACAAAGATCTGTGTTTGATTTTTGGCTGAGCATCAGCGACCTGAGTAGTTAAACTCAACTTGATAAACTAATGACAAAGAAGCAGATACTAAGTAATTATTATTGATTGTAGCGGCGCTGATCTAAAAGCATGAGTGGAGTGAGGATTATTTCAAATGAGGCACTAAAACCCTCAAAACTAAAGAGACTCCAGACCAAACAGTGACTCCTGTGGAAAAGACACAAGAGTATTTTCAGTGAAACCGCGATGGACTGCAGCTCCAAATCACAGTCCACATCTACATCTACCTTTTTTCATTTCCCCCCTTTTTGACCTCTTTTTTAACATGTTTAACATAACTGCAAATTTTGGTTTCTGTAATTTTAGTGAAATGGACGACCTGATCTTTTTCAGGCCCTAATTCACAGGTTTTCAGTGTGAGCAATTAAGAAAAAAAAGAAAACTATTTAAAAAAAAGCTGATTTTAGTTTTTCTGTGGGCTGCTATGCTATATAACAGGTGGGCCTTGGAGTGAAAAGGGTTGAGAACCCCTTGTCTAAAACATCTGCTGCATTCAACTCCACCATGTGTAGCTGTTATTTTTATAGTTCAGAGTAAGTTATACTGTGGCCTAAACCACATCGACAAGTCTGTGTGACCTTGATGCAGTCTGAGCTGCTCAAGAGAAGTTTTAGGGATGTATTCATGAAAAAGATCTGGGTGACTATTGGCTTCTAGTTTTTTTTCACAATGTTAGACTCACAGCTTTAATGCTAAACTAAAGAAGCAAAATTTATACAGCAAACATGGCTTAGCTGATCGACTACATTTGGGTTAAGTGGAAAATTGTGCAAATTTGATTTTTCAATGAAAGTATTCCTTTAATATAGTAGCGCTGAAATTGGATGCAAGCCTAGGTGAGACTGTAGTGTAGGTTAATGTGATTAGGGCCTTTTAAACAGCCAAGTGAGCGCTGATTGCTGACAAACAGGTCCCGACAGATGTGTTAATGAAACACTTCAAATGTGTCATATTATGTATAGGCATGCTTCAACTATGAACTGCAGTGCAGGACTGATTCAGGCATGCGAGACGTACCCCTTCTGAAGTCTGACAGTCGTCCTGAACGATGATTTTCACTCCTCTTATGCTGATCTCTACGATGCACGCTGACGGAGGACTGAACTGCATTGTTGTTCTTCTGTTTGTGGCAATCTGTCATGAGAACAATCACAAAAAGTCCTTGTATGATTATAATTAAGCAAAACAGTTGTGATATTGGTCTTTTCTGTAGTAACAAGACCTTAAAACTTCAAACTTAATAGGAGAACCATTACATTTTTTAACGTAATGAGATTTAATAATGCTAGAATATTTCTGCTGGTCTATTTGTCATTAATTATTCATAAATGGTAAAGCATAGTTGGCATACGCAAAAATAAAAAGCGAAAAAAATTAAGGTTTTAAAATGACCTATTTTATTAAGCATTTCTATTTAATGTGCTCCTTCAGATGTTCAGATTAGTACCTAGTCTAGCAAAAGAACATAATCAGAGTTTACAACTGAGGTTCAGCGTGGCTATACAAGCTCCATTCCAGGAACTGTAATGTCTCTGCTGCTCTCCTGACTGCTGCAATTGTGCTGCTGAGTAAGGCACTTAACCCAGACCTGCTGGAGACTGAGGGCTCTGAAGTCAGAGGTGTTGCAACAAGGATTTTGTAAACTGGCACTTCCAGCTCCTTTAGCCCCCTCAGCTAATCTCTGCTGCCTTGAGTGACTGCTCAGTAGCGGTCAGAGGTAATGTTTGTGTTTACTTATGTTGTTTTCCTGCAATTAAATCATAGCAGCACAACAATCAGTCTGGGAGGGTGAAGGGTAAAACTTGTATTTTATGCAATTTGGAGTAAAATGTGAAATACTCTACTTTGCTACATCACTATGCAGACAGAAAACGAGACTTAAGACCAGTATGTTGTAAATAGTAATAGATTGGCACCAGAACTCTCTGAGAGCAGGAGGAAGAAACCTTGAAAGGATCCTGTCTCAGGGTTCCCCTTTCCTCCTCTAGTTGACATCAGTGCAAGAATATACTGCTGTGTAATGTGTTTAATGCTGTATTATACACTGATCAGGCATAACATTATGACCACCTCCTTGTTTCTATGCTCATTGTCCATTTTATCAGCTCCACTTACTATATAGGTGCACTTTGTAGTTCTACAGTTACAGACTGTAGTCCATCTGTTTCTCTGCATACTTTGTTAGCCCCCTTTTACCCTGTTCTTCAGTGGTCAGGACCCCCATGGACCCTCACAGAGCTGGTACTCTTTGGGTGGTGGATCATTCTCAGCACTGCAGTAACACTGACGTGGTGGTGGTGTGTTAGTGTGTGTTGCGCTGGTACGACACAGCAGTGCTGCTGGAGTTTTTAAACACTGTGTCCACTCACTGTCCACTCTATTAGATACTCCCACCTTGTCGGTCCACCTTGTAGATGTAAAGTCAGAGACGATAGCTCATCTGGTGCTGCACAGTTTGTGTTGGTCATCCTCTAGTCCTTCATCAGTGGTCACAGGATGCTGCCCACAGGACGCTGTTGGCTGGATATTTTTGGTTGGTGGACTATTCTCAGTCCAGCAGTGACACTGAGGTGTTTAAAGACTCCAGCAGCACTGCTGTGTCTGATCCACTCAGACCAGCACAACACACTAACACACCACCACCACATCAGTGTTACTGCAGTGCTGAGAATGATCCACCACCCAAAGAGTACCAGCTCTGTGAGGGTCCATGGGGGTCCTGACCACTGAAGAACAGGGTAAAAGGGGGCTAACAAAGTATGCAGAGAAACAGATGGACTACAGTCTGTAACTGTAGAACTACAAAGTGCACCTATATAGTAAGTGGAGCTGATAAAATGGACAATGAGCGTAGAAACAAGGAGGTGGTATGTGATGTGTGTGTATGTGATGTCATTGTACCTAGAACGTTCTGTTCTGCCTATTTCTGTCTATCCTTACATGGTCATGTCTGTCACACCTATCACTTGTCATCTATAGTCTGGGCCTAATCTTGGCATCAGTCTAGGTATAAACCTGTCAGTCCACTGTTTTACGGGCTGGCTAAATGTTTGGTACCTGCACACAAACTTCAATTCTCCAGACATGCGGCTGCTCACTGGTTTGTGACGGGTTTGTAGTCTTCACCAGATAAGAAAACAATAATATAAAAGTAACTAGTAAAGTTTGCTCAGCAAAAGCAGCTCCCAGGTGGCTGCTGGAGTCAAGTCAAATCAAGTCAAGTCAAAGTTTATTTATATAGCGCTTTTTACAACAGGTGTTGTCACAAAGCAGCTTTACAGTAAAATCCGGGTCTGAGCCCCCATGAGCGTCGCCAGTGCGACAGTGGCAAGAAAATCTCCCTAAATGCAAGAGGAAGAAACCTTGAGAGGAACCAAGACTCAAAAGGGAACCCATCCTCCTCTGGTCGACACCGGATAGCAAACAGCATTAGTATAAAATATTAGAATAGAAAACGGTGAAAAAACAGTTGAAGCAATGGTTATAATTACACAGTTTGATTTTTGCCAAATGGTTTTTTAGGTGGTATTTTCGGTGGTTGATAAGATGTTGCTGACCAGTTGCTATGGTATTGCTACAGACAGTTGCTAAGGTGTTGCAAGGTGGTAGTTATAGTATCCTAGGTGGTTGCTAGGGTGTTGTTAAATGGTTGCTATAGTTCTCCAGGTGTTTGCTAGGGTGTTGCTTTGTGGTTGTTAGGTAGTTGCAAGGGCGTTCCAGATGATTGCTAGGGTGTTGCTGCTACGCTATTGCTAGGCTATGTTGGGTGGTTACTAGGGTGTTGTTAACCTATCCCACATAATCAATATGGTATTGCTAGTGTACTTGTACTCTGGTGTAAGTGGAGTGCACAAATTTTGCCCATATAGTTCTGCCATTTATTCCTATGGGAAAACTGCCATTTAACTATTATTGTACAGAATCTGTACATCAAATGATCAAAAAGCTGTATACAAGCACACCATTCCTGATCAGACTGAACATTTTGGAGTTTAAATGTATTGACATCTTGAAAACTGCGGGACGAGTAAGCAGACAAAAACCCATTAGAGAAATAATAAGAAGAATATAATATGTTGTGCATCACAAAAGAAAATTCAGTGACAAACAGACCAACTTTTTACAAAGTTTTGTCCCAACAGAGATGATATTGCTTATATGGTAGGCTCAAGAAACTGACTTCAATACCTTCTGCATAGCTGCACAAAGCACATCATTCCCTTTATGATATGGTACTTGGACAGAGCCCAGGAATTTCAACCAGAAGGAGTCTAGCCAGTCACTCTTCACCTCTGAGGGGAAAAAATCCAAACAGAACAGGGGTGTGATGAAAATAGCATACCTGTATGGAAAACAGACTAGAACAAGAAATTATAGGCCTCGTTACCTTTAGGCCGTACGTCCTTTGTGACTTTGACGGCATATAAGGCGGGGAAGATGCCCCTGGAGCCAGTGCGCATGTTATAAGCTTCACACCACAGATCCTCTGCCTGTACCTCCATCAGCAAGGGGTCATCTGCCTCCAACTCCAGCTCATCCTCGTGACGTGGGATAAATCTGTAAACAAAAACACGTCACCTTGTTCAGGTCACGCTCTGTAGGACTGACCAGCTTATAGAGGCTAGTTAAGGTTAAGTTAAGGTTACGTGAGAGTATCCGTTTAACTCCTTCACTGTGTACTGTGTATTCTTAATTACTGATGATTATATCTATTACTGTTCTCTAGAAGAGCCACCCAGCTTTAGACTTTGGATCCACACCTAATCTAGCACATCTGATTTGGCTAAAAAAGGACTTAAGCAGCATCTGAATACTGCAGAGAAGTGTAGGTTGAACTGTGCAGGACAGTAACTCTCCAGAAACAGCTTTGATGATAGTCTTGATGTATCCAGATTCCCTGAGCTATGCAGTACCACTTGAAGTTTGTAATAATTCAGTGTTTGACTTAAATTTGCTATATGCTTCCCATCCCCCTTTCAACTGCAGTATTTCAATCCTGGCCCAGAAGTCAATTCTGTGTTGAAAATGCCTGATGCACAAGTAAAGTTAAGTTTCCTGAAGAGTGAGTGAGGATGAGAGAGACCTGCCTGAACACGGCCCTGTGGCTCTGCTCTCTCTCCTCACCATCGATAATGCAGGAGAAAATACCAAAAGATTCAGCACCTATGGATCGACAAACAACAGAGGTCTTCAGTCAACAGCTAGAAGTGTGGAAACAAGTGACATTTGCTAAAAACCTCAGTTTTCCTAAGAAGAGGAAAGGTTTAGCTCCAGAAAGGGGCTTAATATTTGGAAAGTAGTGCCACGAGGTTCCATTCTTGGTCCGCTGCCATTCTGTCTGGTACCTTTTTATCCCCATTTCCACTGATGTTGCAGTAAGTCTAACAACACAAAACATCCTATAACTGATAGCGCAAATGGGAAATGAATGAAAATCCACCCACCCGAAAAACGCGGACGTCTGTTCACAAAGACATTCAGGAACTTGCGTGAGCGCGGCATGTCTGACGTGATGTCAGTAGCAGAGTCTACCGACAAACTGGAAGTATCCCTGTTGATGCCTCCTGCACCCGACTCTTCCTCCTCGTCTTCCACATCGTGCTCCTCCTCATCCTCATCGATGGCCGACTCGTAGACCGTGTTGTCGCTGTCACTTTCGTAACCCTGGTAACACTGCTTAAGGCTAACCAGTTCCAATTTAGCATGCTCGTCCACCACTAAGGTGTACTTCACTGAGTCGTATGTTAGTCCTGAAGCATCTTTGCTAACCGCTGTGTTTACAGCAGCTGCTTTATCCCCTGCCCCTGTCTTTGCAACAGGGTCTGTTACCTCACTGAGGCTGTCAGTCCTGCAAGGGGGCGTCGGAGGGTACACTTCGTCCTCCTCGCTGATGGAGGGGTTAGTGCGACCTGCCAGGGGATGGAAATGCAAGGGTGGAAGTTCCGTGTCTGAACTGATGGACATGCGGTTGCTGTCGCTGCTCTGGGACAAGAAAGGCCTTTCCTGCTCTCCATTCACAGGTGTCAGGTGGATCTCCTGCGTCGTCTCCTTGCTCCCCTCCAACGAACGATAGTCCTTGTTTTTGTCTGTCGGGTGGTGGTGCGTACACCCATTTTCTACAGGGTACTGAGCTTGATCCCGGCAGCCATTCAGGGTATGGTAGTGAGCCTTCTCTTTGCTGATTGTCCCCACATCGCGGAGCCCCTCTATCAGGGTCCCATCCCTGGGCATGTCCCGCATGTCTGTGTGTGTGGAGGGCTGAGCAGTACGGATGTTGTTGACCACAGACTCAGAAGGCTTGTCCTTCTTCTTGCATGCAGAGCCTGGAGCTTTGTGTGCGGAAGAACCAGCTGTGCGGGGCTTGGCGTCCACCCGGGCGCTTGCCTGGACTTTGTCCCCGTCGGTCTGGCTAACCTGCTCAGGTTTAGGAGGCAGGTCCCCTAATACACAAACACAGACACACAAACAGCAGATTATATATTAGGCAACAGGTTCAACAGGAACAGGATTATGAAGTAAACACTGTGTGTCAATATGTATAGGATTTCACTGAAATGTAGTACAGAAAACTGACAACATGATGCATAAATTCAATCTGCAGGATTAGTTTGCATCCATTGTTGCTATTTGTAGATGGCACTTTACACTGATGTTCAGATTCTAAAATTAGGACAAAGAAATCTGTCTGTAGAGCAATGCATGTTCTCGTTTTGCCATGTGGCCTGCTGTGAACTTCAATAAGCAGATTAATGAAAATCCCATTGAGGTAATATTTGTACTCAAACAGTGCTTTCAACAGCACATATTTCATGTACTGTGTGCTGTATACACTGTAACGCAGAAAATACGATGGTTCAGCATGGTTCCACATTTAAGCAGTAATTATATTAGTGTGCTACATACATCTATGTTTTTTCTGATGTGTTGTGCATAATCAGTTAGTTTAAGGCTCCACACTGCAAAGAAAAGATATATAAGTGTATAAACCTTAAATCTAGTCAATACATACATTTTGGGCGACACTCTTATCCAAAGCATCATAATCATGTTACAGATGTACGCAAATGTAGTGTCAGGAGTCTTACTCAATAACTCTTATTGGTGTACAGTAGCATGCTTGCCTAGGAAAGGAGATGATCTTTGGGGGGGACCAGTTCTACCCCACAATACAACAACAATGAATACTTGATATTTATTATTATGCGATTGTTATAAGAATATTCTAATTTTTCTAGATGTTTTTTTCTTGTTTAAAGTCATTTTATCTAGAGATGATCTTATTCCATTGGCAGACGATTTTGCTTGATACAAGCAACATTTTCTGCCAAATTACATGTTTTGTTGATTTTATAACTAAAAATAAGTTAACATCCTCTACAGAGAACGAATCTAAATATGACATTTTTCTGCAAATTTTTGTGCACAGTTTCTGTTTGATGAATATAAAGTGTTGGGAAAAAAAGCACAAAATGTAAAAAGTGCCATAACTTTTGCACAGGCCACATTTTATTGTTCAATATGTTCAATGCAGCAAATAAGCAGTAATCGTGCATTAAAAGTGTCTTCCCTGTAGAGAATGTGCTAACTTATTTTTACATATCAACAAAGTCAACAAAAACATGTACTTTGACCTGAGATGCCCAAACTTTGCATATGACTGTAAGTAAACTTAAAATCTTATAATATTTTTAGAAACATCTTATAAAATGAAATATTACATATTTCAGATTTAAGATGATTTCAATTAGATTTTTACAATGATTTGCTTAATCTAATTTTTTGCATTAATACAGTTCTTACATTCACATTACGGTTAGCACTGAAACCAACTGTGGTAATCTAGCCCAGTGCACCTGTTAGCCACAGTGCTGCAGTTCAGCTTAGTTATTCATCCTGCTGCAAAAGGCCTGATTCAACTCTTCTGCTCATCTTCAATCTTCTCTAAATTTTCTCTAAATATAGTCGACCACTGTCTGAACTTTTGCTCATGTTTATAGATAGCACTGTGTCATACAGTTATAGACACTGATGTCATTGATGACTTAGACATGCAGTTTGGATGATGTGAGTGGGTTAGGTTTGTGGCTCCAGTGCAAAACTTATAAAATTACCTTCACACAGCATGTCACGGTTAAATGACTAGATTTGGGATAAGGGGACAAAGGAAGTCTAAGTCAGGGTAAACTTTTTGCCTTAGGGGACCAATATGCAGTCATCATGGTGGGCAGAGGCCAAAAGAACAAAACAATATACATACATAAAAAATGTGTTTCATGACATTACACTACACTGTTAGAAATAAAGGTTTTGTTCAGGTACGTTTTTCGTTCATCAAGGTACAAACAGTGTAAATGTTCCCTCAAAGGTACAACAGTGGTTTTAAGGTCTGATTGTGAACCTTAAATACGTTTTTCCAGGTGAAAAGTTCGTATTTGTATCTTTTCATAACCGAATATTTTAAAACAGAACAATAAAATAAAAGCCTGGAGACGAGACGGGGTGTGTGGAGTCAGTACAGCTTAGAAAATATCAGTTCAGTGGATTATGGTACAGTAATGTTCCCTGACTAAAGGTACTGAGATGTACCCTTGAGGGTTCCACTCCAGTGACAGTTTGGTACCTTTATTTCTGAGAGTGTATATATTGTTGCTAAAAAAAAGAATAATAATAATTTTATGAGTTACGTATTCAATAAAATGTGGGAGTAACTTTCTGCTGGGCCAAATTAAACATCCACACCAGACACACCAGACACACACAGCCCTGTTCTAAAGACTTGTTTTCATTGTGGAACACTGGTTGTCAAGCAAGTTAAAACACTGAACTGTGCAGTGATGTGGCTCTCCAGCAGAGGGAGTGAGTGAGAATCTCAGCTCTTAATGGCTCTGGATGGGAGCGGCCTTGCTTACCTTTTATGTGCGGTGAGGATGAATGAGTTTTCTTCTCTTTCCTTCTATCCTTCTCACCAAGTGAGTTGTTATTTATAGTGTCCTGGGGGAAATAAGTGAGACAGATGAAGTGTACAGAAGTGAAAACAGGGTATTTTCATTCCTTGTACAGTGAAACAATGGGTCATTATTTTGCTGCCTCATTGAAAAACAGGGACGTTTTCCTGCTTTCTTCAGGCCAGCTGATGATTTCCTGACTTCCCACCTTACTGACTGTTCAGTTACGGAGTGCGGGGGACTTTTTAGGTCAGACACACACAGACTTGCCCTGCAGTAACGTAAGTATGACCGAAGTTCCAGGCAAAGGAATCATCCGGAATCCTTCACTGCTCTGCCAGTTCTCGCTGACTCACCTCTAAACCACAGCATCGCGATGCAGCAGGCATCGACACTCCTCCGTCACCATGGAAACAATGCCTCGGAGGAGGCTGTGCGTATGTATATCCATGCAGCGTGTGTGTGTGGGTGTCTGCCTGAGCATGTGAGGTGTGGGCAGATGGCGTGACGCTGTGTGATGGAGAGGGAGACACATTTGTTATCCGTGTCCATTCTTTCCAATTAAAACAGGGCTCTCTCTCAAGACAGCAGCAAAACATACATTCGGCCTGCCACCACACCCAGCACAGCCTGGATATCCATACTGAAATCCACCCATCAAAGAAAAAGAAAAAGCAAAAGGGAAGACACGCTGAACACACGCCTCCTTCTGCAGCATTGTGCTGAAGTCAGAGTCCACCCTGCATGTATTTAATTTCTAGTCAGAATGGTCATTAAGTATAAGTTATTCATTTTTCAGATTTTTCTGAGAAGATTAGATATAAGATAATCCACTTGCATAAAGAAGGAGAAAGTCAAAGGAAAAAGAAGGACTGACCACCCCAGAGTCCAGACCTCAACATCACTGAATGTGTTTGGCAGTACTTGGATCATAAGAACCAACCAACTTCTAAGACTGAACTTTGGAGGTCTGGCTGCAGATTTCTTTGAAAAACTAAGACTGAGAATGGAAGCTGTAATAAAGGTAAAGAGTGACACATTAAACACTGAAAAATCTGATATTATATTTAGTTGTTGAGGTTTTTGCAAAATTTTCTTGTAAATTTTCTTTCCTTCCAATTCTCATTTGGACTCTCCCGTAATGTCTTTTCTCAACACACTTGGACAAACCTAGTACTGTATGTGGACACCAGATGGACCAGGGACGAGAGATCCACTGTCCACTTCTTAATAGAGGGGCATGTAGCTAACTGAATTCCCCCAGGCTTCTGTCTACAGACAGCACATGGCACAACTGGTATTTTTATCTGATTCTGCTGCACCTCTCCAACATTACTACTGGGGAAATACAGTAGCGTGCAACCCAGAGACCACCATATATTTCCAGTGACAATAGCCATTAAAGAGCAAACAGTCTATCTTACACAGTCCATCTTACACTGGAGATGGTCATCACCACATGGGCTCAGAAATACTTTGACAAACTGTTGTCAATAAACTCCACTCACAAATACAAGTTAAGACTGTACAGTACACAGCGGACACCATATGTCAACAACATCAAGAAATGCTGAAATGGACTGATACACAGTGGAAACGTGTCTTGTGGTCTGATGAATCAACTTTGCATATTGTTTATGGAGACAATGGACGTTCTATGGGCCAAAGAAGAAAAGGACAGTCCAGACTGTTACCAGCATAAAGTTCAAAAGCCAGAGTCTTTCTTGCTGTGAGGGGGTATTAGTACCCGTAGTGTGGGTAACATGCACATCTGTGAAAACACCATTAACAATGAACTCATTCTGGAACAACATGTGCTGCCTTTTAGACACCATCTTTTTCAGGTACATCCATGCTTATTTCAACATGGCAATGACAAGAAACTTTCTGCATGTGTTGCAACAGAATGGCTGCATAGTCAGAGAGTGTGCGTGCTAGAGTGGTCTCCCTGTCTCTTATTGAAAAGGTGTGGTGCATTATGTATTATGCGCAAAATGCGACAACAATCCCAAACAGTCGTGTAGCTGAAGACTTATATAACTGAAGAACGGCAAACAAATTCTGCTTTTAAAACAGAATTAACTGGTGTCTTCAGTCTTCAAATGTTTATAAGTGCTGTTAAAAGGAAAGGCAATGTAACACAATGGTAAAATTGCTCCTGTCCCAACGTTTTGTCGAATGTGTTGCAGGCATCATATGTGGAATGAGCATATACTTAAGGTTAAACATAAAATACCATGTTTCTGTACTGTTTTCAACTGAATATATGTAGAACAGAGTTTATTAATCACTGCTTTCAGTTTTTACTGGCCTGTCAGGTACTGTCCCATTTTTTTGGAGTTTGGTTTGTATGTAAAATGTGGCTATTTTAACACATAAACTTTGATATGCTGGGTATTCTATTCACAGATTAGAGATTATTAGACTATTAGAAAAGTCACACTGCTAATGAACTCTGCAGTTCCTCTGTTGTTCACTAGTTGTCTGTAATTTCAGTTTCCATTCCAAATATGCATACACCACTACCATGTTTTACTTCCTTAAATATCAATCTCTACGCAGATCGTTGCACAGCATAACTTTTCTGTGTACACTGTCCAGCTAAGCTAATGATATGCATTAAACGCCGCTGCTGTGTTTCAGTTCCTCCAACACCAGCTGCATAAGCAACGACACACAAAAGTTCATGGAGAAACATGCAAATGTTTATAACAAGTGATCCAGAGCTGAATCCGAAATATCTCATGATTCCATACATAGTGAACCATCCAGGATATGAGCAAATGCTATTGTTGCTCTCTGTCACTCATTTCATGTGAATTACTGCATCAGGAAAAAAAAATTTAAAGAGGGAATTAGTTCACTTTGTTGACAACATGTAACTCTACATTTTGGACCTGTTTTGATTAGTTCAGGGGTCGGCAACATGTGGCTCCAAAGCAGAATCAGATTTTTTGGGTAAAAATACTTTACAGTAAAATAAAGCTCTGCTGATCGTTCAACACAGTTTAACAATAAAAACGCTGGAGTTAATGTAGAACTGCTAATTCACCCTTTAACCCTGAAGGTTGACAAGCAGACTGCTGGTCACCATAGCAACGCAGATAACAGTCTCATCTAGCTAGTAGCTAACGAAAAGGCAAAGAGAATGATTTAAGATGAACATTGATAATTTAGAGACGAATGGACTTATTTGCATTTATAATCACTCCAGCTGGTTTCCTGATACGTTTAATACACAACGAGAAACTGACAAACACTAAAAAGTTGCAAAGCTGAAGTCGCTTCTCCTTCGAATTCTCCCGTTCCCCCTTAAATGGTGCAGCTGTTACAATCTGGCGCCTCAGTCACCATTTAAGGTGGAATGGGAAACTTTGAAAAAGAAGCTGGCGAATGAGCGACTCCAGCCTCGTAAAACATCAAACATTGAGAGACATTTTACAAGAAACTGTTCTACTTTTGTGGAAAAGTTTCCAGCTGGAGATAAAAAGCAGCTATAGCTGAGCTAAAGCTTAAAGCAGAGCAAAGTAAGTCTGTGTTTTCCTTTGTGTTATATTTTTTAACCTATACTAACACTTTAGCACATACTGAGACATATTTACAGCCAAGATGGTAAAATGGACATAAAATTTTGTGGCCCCCAAGGAGGTTAGAATTTTGTTGAAAGGACAAAATGGCTCTTCTTTACATTTGGGTTGCAACCCCTAGACTAGTACAACCGGTAAATTATGTAAAAATTGTGTAATAGTGTAAAAGTTCATAGCCTGGGTGCATGAGGACATGTCCCTTATTAATGTAAACACAGGCACTGCTTTCCAGACCTACTACTGTATTCTATAAGGCCTGTGTAAGAGAGGAGCAGATTTTTTAATGTAGTGAGGTTACGATGGGTTTGGAATGTGAGAACAGAAATGTTAATTAATTGTTAATTGTGAACCGATTGATTTATTATTCCGTTTCTGAGCCCTGATGCTGTGTCATATGTCCTCTCAGGCCTTGTGCACGTACATATTTATGTCTGTGGTGAATCTATGGGGGACTTGCAAATTCCCTGGTAATCCCCAGAGTGCTCTTCGTGCCCGGGGGCTCGACATGGCCGCGTTTCCGCCACAGATGAGATCGGAGCGGACGCAGCCCAGATTAGGGATTTAGTGCCAGAGAGCAGTGTCTCTGCAGTCAGTCAGTCAGCAGCTTCTCCAGGCAAGAGCACTCCGCTGACCTGAATACGCTCTACGCTGAGGAGGAAGATAAATGTTTCAAAGGCCTGACGCTTCACTGTGCTGAGAAAACTGGTGCTTTTCTGCTGCCGTCACACATCTTCCACACTCAACATTAGATGCTTCTATATTTAGCGTACTGAGCACTACAATTAGAATCAGTTTTATTTTGCCAGGTAAGTTACAGACATGATGACTGGTCTTGGTGAGCGCATATATTTAACACGTAACATTAAACAGACTAAACAAGCAGGCTGGACTACTGTAAGTGTGTATTATAAGTGTTCAACAGAAATGCAAAATACAACAAGGATATTTTAAAATAAGGATATAATGTAAAATAAAAAGCAAAAACAGGTGACGTCACTATCATTTACAGTTGCATAGGTTTGGGCATCCAGGGTCAGATGACGCTTTGTTGATTTTCTGAAAATAAGTGACCACATCCTCTATAGAGAACACATAAAACATGAAAAAACATAAGTTGTCCTGTGTAAAAGTTCTGGCACATTTTATATTTTATGTTTTTCTAATAAGATAAATTCTGTGAATAAATGGAAATTGTGCACTAAAATCTGCAGAAAATACCATATATAAGTTTGCGTTCTGTACAAGATGTGTTAATTTTTAATTAAGAACAAGTTTTTAAAAAAGAAAATCCACAAAACATGTCATTTGACCATAACGTGATATGCATCATGTCAAAGTATGCATCATTACATCTCCAAAAAATGGCATACTTTTTATAAAATGCCTTACATTTTATTTATTTTTTCCTCAATATATTAAAGCAGCATTACGTTTGTTAAAATTGAAAGAAGTATCATTA